CACAGAGTGTGCTGGTGGTAAAGTGGCCACCCTCTCTCTGTGGTTTTCTTTCTCATCTGGCTCCCGAGATGGGCAGGGTACATGAAGGCCTTTTGTAAATGGTTGAGTTACACAAAATGTTGGTTATTGCTAACCAGGCTCAAGGTCCAGGGCTCCTTTCATCCACTGAGGGATGGGTTACCTTGTGGCCGTATCATCCGAGGGAACTGGCAGTCAAAAGCGTTACCACTGGGCGCCTGGGTGGCTCAGTTGGTTAAGCGACTGCCTTCGGCTCAGGTCATGATCCTGGAGTCCCGGGATCGAGTCCCACATCGGGCTTCCTGCTCAGCGGGGAGTCTGCTTCTCCCTCTGACCCTCTTCCCTCTCGTGCTTTCTATCTCTCGTTCTCTCTCTCTCTCAAATAAATAAATAAAATCTTAAAAAAAAAAAAAAAAGCGTTACCACTTACTGGGTGCCACATAGGTACCAGGCCCAGTACTGATGCTTCTGGAAAGCTCATTTTCCACACAGGAGCCAGCCAGTACTCTGATGTTATTGTTTATAATAACCCTGAAAGGTATCAGCATTGCAGTGCCTATTTTGCACATGAGAAATGGGCACAGAAAGGGTAAAGAACTTGCCCAAGGGCACAAAATAATGAGAGCCAGAGCCTGGATACAACCAAGGTCTCTGCTAAGTGTATGTCCCATGGCCTCCCCGCCCCCCCCCCCCCACACACTCTTTCTCTAATGAATCATTTTGATTCCCCAGCACTTACACCAAGGCATTCATTTGCTCTTTTATTCCCTTTAGTGAGTACTTTTTTTTTTTTTAATTGTATTTATTTATTCATGAGAGACAGGGAGAGAAAGAGAGAGAGAGAAGCAGAGGGAGAAGCAGGCTCCCAAGGAGCAGGGAGCCCGATGCGGGACGTGATCCCAGGACCCTGGGATCATGACCTGAGCCGAAGGCAGACGCTTAACCATCTGAGCCACCCAGGCGCCCCCTTTAGTAAGTACTTAATCTTTGCTCAAGCATGGTCCTTGGCAAGGAGATTGTTGGCAAATGTCCGCTAGGCCTTGCCCTGGCTTCTAATGTGCCCCAAATGTGCCCTTGTCCAGGTAGTTTGGGGGCTGTCGCTGCCACCTTCCTTTTCAGCCTGAGCCTGGGCGTCTTGCTCTCCTGGGTCCCAGAGGACTCGCGTGTGGCTGCCCCACCGTTCCTGTTAGGCTTCTGTCCCAAGCGGCTGGCTTCCTGACTGTCCTCTCATGAACCGACTTGGGGAAGCAGTACTTGTACCATTCATACGTCACTCAGCACGGTCAGCTTCGGGCTGCAGGCTGCCATTTACTCACTGAAGGGCCTTGAGCTCATCAAGCTCGACGCCTCAGTTGGCTTATCTGTAAAAACTGGTTTAATAACAGCAAGGTGGTCACGAGGGCTGAATAAGATAGTTAATAGTGGCTCTACGGACCTGGCTGAGGAGGGACAGCACGGCTCGTAAGTGACAGCTACTCGTAGTCCTGCTAAGGGCCCTTCCAACTCTGGCCCACTCTGAATTTGCTTCCACTTCCTGAATCCCCTGGAAAAGAGACCACCCCCGCCTTCAAGGGCCCGAACAGTGTCTTAGGGCTCCTCCTGTCCCTCCTCCTGAGTTCACTGCTCTCTATACAGAAGGCTTTCAAAAGTCAGTCATTCACGCAGCCACCCTACTGTCCTGCCGTGAAGGCCTCTTCTCTGGGCCAGGCCTCGTTCCAGGAGCCCTGGGCGTCCAGATGAACAGAACACCACACCCTCTCACTTTCCTTGTCAGTCGACAGGTGGCTACGAGAGCAAGCGAGAGCAGTAACGTGGTGGGCACCGAGACAGACGTCCGCGGGGCCACCCAGGCTCTGCCGGCCCCAGCCAGTGCCCTGGAGAAGAGACTGGGCGGGGAGGCCGCCGTGGGTGAGGGGCGGGCGCGGGGGCCCTGAGAGCATTGCCCCTGGGGAGAATGGCGAGGGTAAGCCTGAGGCAGAGGCTGGGGCAGCAGTGAGGTGTGTGCTCCCTCTGCCTGATCCAGGGAATGCCCGGCTCCTGGCGAGGTGGGGCCGGGCTCGGTTCCTGTCCGGAGCTGCAGAAGGTCTGCACTTCAGGGCTGTAATTCAGGTTGATGTGTAAATGCCTGGGGGGAGGTGGGGAAGCAAGATTGAATGCCTCTCATGAGAAGCATTTTCTCACACCGGACTGAGCCCAGAAGCCGGGACTGAAGGGCCCGTTAGCGAGGGCTCTCTGCTCTGGGCCTGGGGTCTGTGCCCCTGCCAGCACCGAGATTTAAGGCTTCTCTGGGTGGGCCTCACTGGGGCAGAGTGGGGCCTTAGCAAAAGGACATTGAGCCTAGCAACTCTCTTAAATTTGGGATTCCAGATGGGGCCACTTCCCCTTTCTTTTTCCAGAAGGGGATGAGCGTAGCCCCCAGCCTGGCCTTTGGCCTAGGTTGAGAGCTGAGGTCACCTCTGGAGTGAGGCTGGGGGCAGGGGCATCTGAAGCCCTGGGGACTGAATCTTAGCGGTGAGATGCCTAGGGTGTGGAGGAGGTTGGGAGGATGGCTAATGGGAAGCAGGTGGAAGGGCTGCCTGTGTCCCAGCCAGGGGACAGGCCGGCTGGGATGGCCCAGTCAGTGGGAGAAGCCATCAGCTCACAGATAATCCCAGGGAACAGGCTCCGGGATGCCCATTCATATTCATTATGTGTGAAGTGGGCGGTTGTAAAGTTAGCTTTCTCTTCATTTAGCTGTCACTGGACAGAGAAATATGAGCTGTGGGCAGATGCCCCTGGATGGGAGCCAGTAGCTGGTCTCTGGCCTCCCCGTGCCCTCCTCCGCCAGGGCCTCCCTCCCGCACGGTTCGCTCCCAGCCTCCGCCTGCCTCCTCCACTCCTGCTTCGGGGATCTCTCTTGGCTTTACTGCCTTCTCTTCTCTCATCCCTCTCTTCCCCCACTTCTGCTTCCTTTGCTTTCACAGATCCTTTCCTCCCCGTGCACCGCACCGCTCCCCCCCCCACCCTGCCCCGAGCTGTGTGGGAGAGGGAATTGTGGTTTTTTTTCTTGACCATGGTTCTATCTCTGGCACCCAGCACAATGCTTGGCACAGAGTGGGCACTCAGTAAATATTTGTAGAACAAACTAACCTTTCTGCATCTCTCTGACTCGGTGACACAGAACTCCAAAATCTTGCTGCCCACTCCTTGGGTGAAGAACCTTCTAGTGCACTGGTCTTAGCCCTGAGTTAGAAGTGTGGGTTTGAGGCCCAGTCATTATTGACCAGCTGTGTGAAGGGGGTTGTGTTCCTCGGAGGTGCCGGGGCTGCTTCTCCTTACTGCTCCGACTCTTCCCTTCCTGATGGACGCAGGGCTCCCGCATGGACCTCAGAGCCAGCATCAGTACCGAGAGGAGAGAAATCACCAGCAGCCAGGCCCTCGAATGAAGGGAAGGGAAGGAAGACCCTGGTTTCTTCTGAGGGGAGCTTGAGCCTAGTCACACTGACTGTCTTAGAGGAAAATCTGATCTGATGGGGCACTTGCTCCCTCTGGGAACGAGCACAGCACTGGTGTCTTTGTGTGCTCGGGTTTCTCTGTGCCTGGAAGAGGCTACTAGCCGAGGCTGAGCTCTGAGCAATGTGGTTGTGTTTACTGGGAGGGTGGGAGGGCCGGGCCTGCTTTCTTCCTGCCTTCCAGGCTGCGGAGATAAGGCAGAAAGTGGGGATGAAGGGTAGAATGGCTAATGCTCTGAAACCACAAGAAAGAGTCCTGGCTTTTGTCTCTGCCCCACAGCTCAGACATGTTCCTGGGGCATCTGGGAGAAGGGGGTTGCCCCACCCCCACGGCTCTGGCCCAGGGGAGCTCAGAGCCCTCACCCATCTTTCATTCCAGCCCCCTTCCACTGCCAGTTCAGCCACACGTTTATCTCTGCCTTCCCACCCCAGCTCCCCATTTTCCCTTCCACATGGGCCCAGCAGCCCTCGAGCCGATCCTAGGCAGGTGAAAGGGCCAGGCATGGCATCTATCGGCCTTGGGGGCCCTGCTGCAGGCCCACCTTCCCCTAGCCCCCAGGACCCCCGCTGGCCCCTTAGGAGGGCCTGGCCCAGCCTGAACCCTGGGCACAGACCAGCTAACCCACTGTCAAACCCTGAGGATACACAATCACCTGGTCTAAAAAATACTGCCATCTTTATTATTATGCTGGGCAGCACACTTTTTTTTTTTTTTTTTTTTTTTTTTTACAAAAGTGGGGTTTGAGATCTCAGGGGCTTAGAATTTGTGGAAGTCTGTTTTATTCTTACCAACATCTAATGAGTAAACCAAGGGAGCCTACAGTTTCTATGGCATAGCTCTGGCCTGAGCCCATAGAAGAGAATCCAAATATTTGGTGGTTTCTGGTGGACTTTCTGCCCCCTTGGAGGGGGTGAGGACTCCATGCCATGTTGGGGGAGGGGGCACAGGGCAGGAGTAAGGGGTGGCTGGAGCTGGGGCTCCGGGCACCTTTTCTGGCACCTTTTCCCCCGGTGGCCTTCAGGCCCTTGTGAACTCCAGACGCTGAGCGCTCGCCCCCTGGTGGTGGGAGGGGGGAGTCAGGCTGGCCCTGGCTGCTCCTGCTCTCACACTGGTTTCCCCTTAGTCACAAAGAGCTTCTCCTGGTTCAACCTGTGTCATCATCCTCTTGTTTTCCTGGGTTCCCTGAATGAGGAGCCAATTCAGCCATTTCAGCTGGAGGGATGACACTTAAACTTGGACAAAGTCTGAAGGAAGCAGGGCAGTGTCTTCCTCCCTCCAGCCCAGAGTTGGATGAAGGGACCCAGTGTGTGGTAGGAAGAGTCCTACCTGCTTTGCAGCCCGCTTTGTCCTGAGCAGTCTCACCTTATTTTAAGAGAAAAAAAAAAAAAACAAAAAACTCTAGCTTGTTCCCTGTGGGAGGCTGAGGATCCCAGCTGCTCTGCCTGGGCCTCCGGGAACCGACCGGGGCTTGGAGGCAGAGGTGTGCCCTCTCTGGCATCCAGGCTGGGGTGGGGTGGGAGCAGCTGGGAACAGGAAAAGGGGGGTGGGCAGCTTAGTCTGCATGTCCACGCAACCGATCACGTGGTCCAGTTCAGTAGGCTGGGTGGCTCCTTGGACTTCACCCTGAGCGAGATGAGGCTTGGAGACTTATAGTCGCCATCTGGGGTAGGCTCAAAGCTGTGGCCCCCCAGGGCAGGGGAGAAGCCATGGATGGAGTAGATGCCAGGGTGGGCTCCGGGGGAGGCTGGCACCCCCATGAAGCCAGCCACATTCCCATGAGAGTGGGAGTATGGAGACATGCACGGGGAGGGCATGCCCTCTGGAGACACGAGGCAGGGGCCGGAGGGGCTCCCGGACCCTGGACTGGGCCACAGGGAGTTCTGCAGCTGAAAAGAGAGACAGAAAAGAAGGCCCATGAATCAGTAGCCCAGGGGCTGCCTCCCTTACCTGGGGGTTCTGTCTTTGCCCTTAGGGCTCCAGAAACTTAGCAGGAAACCTCCACTTGGCCCAGGTCTAGAATCTGCTCCTGCCTACCCCCGACACTCCAAATGGCATCTCAGGAGCCCCCTGCCACTGCGCCTCCAAATGAGGTTTACTTCAGTACCAGCTGTTCGGCATGCCTCGTTCACAAGACAGGGAGGAGCCCCACTTTGCAGAGGAGAAGGGATTTACCCATGGTCCCGCAGAGTCCTAATGCTGCTGCAGGTCTCCCTGGGGCCCACGCTACCCTGGGGGATGTGGCCAGGCCCTGACGCAGGGCCAGCTGGGGTCTCACCTGTGGGTGGCTGTCTGTTCGGGGCAGCACAGAGATGTCATAGGCAGATGTGAAGGGGTTCCGCCCCTCCTGGATCTTCCCGTAGCGCTCACGCTTCCGCCACTTCGCTCTGCGGTTCTGGAACCAGACCTGGGGACCGAGGTGAGAGGCTGAGGGAGTGACAAAGCGGCCCTGAGGAATAGAGCCCGCTGGGGAGAGAGTGGGTGGGGGTGTCCTCCTGCAGGATGGGGAGCTGGCTCCAGCTGGAGGATCTTGAGCTGCAGCAGCCTGTAAATCCCTATTGTTCTCCAGGCCAGGGAACGGGGGGGGGGGGGGCTTCTTGGTCCCTTGGGCCACCCCTCACCCCTAGTCACCAGGCTGAGTCACTCTCTTGGTTCTCCAGCCCACTTGTGCCACTAAGGGTGTCGTGGGATCTGTGGCCTCAGAGGCTCTGGGCACTGCCTAGGCATATATCAGGGCACAGGCCTCTAGCCCCCTGCCTCATCTCCGATCCCAGGCTCTCCACCTCCCATCCTCAGCCCAGAGCCCAGCTCCTTAAGGCCCCTGGGCACTGAGCCCTGCCCTTCTCCACAGCCTCACCCCCAGCCAGGCAGTATGGCTTGATTCTTCCTACTTGCCTCTCAGGCCAGCTTGCCTTTGAACGCATCTGCTGCCTTGCGACTGCCTGCCTCACCTCAGCCTTCCCCTGCCTGGGCTTACTGCCTCACCCCAACACACACGCATATGTCACCGATGGCCTGGGCGATGCGCCGGCATCTCCCTCGTACTCACCACGCCCTATTACCATCGTCCCTTTTGCCATCTGTGTCTCCCACTCATTTGGCAGCTCCTGGCAGGTGAGGGTGGCCTCCCTGGGTGCTGTGCGCATCTGTGTACCTATCTGCGCCGAATCTGTCACTTGACGGAGGCCCTGCGGCTGTCACATTTATGGTACCAGTGCATGCGTTTTGTATTTCTGTCATTTAATAAGCATTTCTGTGTCAGGCTCTGGGCTAGCTGTTGGCAATATCAAAACCAAACCGAACCAAACCATCCCCTTGCTTTCCAGGGATTTAGCTGGGAGCCATGACAAAAGAAGTTCTATGTGTGAGAGTATGTGTGTGTGAAAGGAACCCCACCTCGGCCCCTCACACACGCCCCCACCGTGGCCGTTCCTTCTGCGCAGGCAGGTGAAGCCATGACAGTTAAGGAGCTTGGCAGGCCCCGAGCCCCCTAAGCCCCAGATGCAGAGATCCCAGAGCAGGCCTGGGGCAAGGTCCGGGACGGACCATCCCACCTGCCCAGCTGCTGGGCCTTTCCTTCTCTGGCCTCCCTCCCCCTCGGGTAGATGAAGGAGTCTGGCCTGCTTCACCGGGCATTCTTCCCCATCATCCCTGGTTGTCTCTGCAGCCCCCACTGTAGACTTCTGCCTGCACTTGGGCCTTGCCCTCTGCACTGTTCTGTGTGGTGGCTTACTGCTCTCCATGGGGTAGGGCCCACGGGCGGCTGTCACATTCCCATCAGAGAAAAGAGCCCTGTGGCCGCCCCTGCACCACTTCGGCATTGAAAAGGCCTGGGAGAGGAGTGCGGGGCTGCGCTCCGCCTCTCCAAGGCAGTGCCATGGCCACGGCTATCCAGAGGCTCGCAGAGCGTCCGGAGACTTGATGTTCCGGACTTCCGTGGCTCATGGACTCTGGGACTGTTGTGAATGCTTGGTCTCTTACCCTGCTGGCCCAGGTCCTGGGGCGCCCTGGGAGGACAGTCCTAGAAGTGTGTTTTGGGTGCCGCCTGGGAGGAAAATGAAAGCAGGAGGACCCAGAAGGGAAGGGGAAACAGCCCAAGCCCCTCTGGTCCTACGCTGAATCCAGCTGTAGGGCCTTCTCTGCTAGAAGGCAGCCAGCCTCTTCGTGGGCTGGCCGGCCAGTCCCCATATTCGGCCAGAGGGAGGCCCCACACAGGTGTGCTATGTACGAGCTCTGTCCCAAATAGGTCTCCTCTGTGGTGGGAAAGAGAAGCTCCTCTGTCTAGAGGTCACCTCCTCACCTCTCCTGAGAAGCCCAAATCCCACCCCTCTCCCAGTGCCTCCTGCTTGGCCTCAGGGAACCTGCTGTGCGTCATGCCAGTTCAAAGTCAAAGCAAGGCAACAACCACCATCTTCCTCTTGGGCCAGGCGTTTATTGAAGCCTCCTTCCCCATCCCCACCCTCTGCTTGCCACCTTCATGTTCTTTCTCACCTCCGACATGTCTTGGACGTGGACTTCCCTTCTCCCTTTCCCCTGTTCCCAGCATCCCCCCGTCCCCTGACCCCCAACCCCTACCTGAAGCTGGCCACAGCCCTACCCAGGAAGCCCTGCGGCCTGATCTCTGCTGGAGAGAGTTGGTTGGGTGGGGAAGCGCCCCTGGCCAGGCTCTCCCGGCTGGGGTCTGGGAGCTGGTGGGCCTGACAGTCGCTGGCTCGGGATGGCTTTGAGCATCACTGAGCTTCAAACCCCCCCCGCCCCAGTGGGGACCCTCCTGCTCTGGGCAGCTACCTCGGGAGTAGCCGGATGTGTTCAGCATTTCACTGCTTCCGAAAGGCTGTCACATCTGTGATCCTCAAAGACCATCCTAAGTAGGAAAAGCGAGACTGAGAGATCCAAGGACATGGCCCAAGTCACCTGGTCAGCTGGAAGTGGCAGAGCAAGGACTCCCAGAGGCCACCAACCCCATGAGGCACTTGGGCTGCAAGCCCGTGGCGGCAGCAGAGTTGGGCATGGAGGGGAGCCGAGGGCAGGCGGGCCGGGGGGCAGGCACCTGGGAAAGGTGGGTCTGCGTGGCACCAGCGCCCACCTCTCCCAGTCCTTCCACGGCCTGGCCCATGGTCGGGGTGGGAGAGGCAGCCAGAGAGGCCCACGTCCGGGGTGCCCTCACCTGTACCCGGGCCTCGGTGAGGTCCGTTCGCAGAGCCAGCTGCTCCCGGGCATACACATCAGGGTAGTGGGTTTTCTGGAAGACTCTCTCCAGCTCTTCCAGCTGGAACGTGCTGAAGGTCGTGCGGTTACGGCGCTTCTTGCTCTTGTTCTTGGCCAACTCCATGGAGTCAGGCAGTCCCGGGGACAGAGGGACACGCAGGCTGGCCAGACAAGGGCCTGGGGAGCCTTGCAAGTTAGAGGCCCCGTCTCTGGGCGCCCCTCGGCAGTCCAAGGGCAGCTGGGGGAAGCTGGCAGCTTTGGAGGCCTTCTCCTCGGCTGCAATGGAAAACACAAAAAGGAGGATGGAAACCGAACCAGGGGGTTTTGTGGGTGGACTGGGGGAGGGGGCAGGACGTTTGACGCTTCAGTCCCCGCCTCCCCCTTCCTTTCTCTTCCCTCGTCCCAGCAGCCACCCTCCATGGGAGCCTGGCATTCGGAGGCCTGCTTGCTGAGCCTCCAGCTGGGGAGGGGGCCCTGGGGAACCATGTGCTCTGTGGTCTGGGCGGATCTGCTGGGGCCAGACGAGGGTTCATTTCGGGGAAGCGCTTTGTGGTGGTGCGTCCCACAGGGTGTGGAGGTGCCAGGGTTGGCGCCATGGCAGGGCTTGGCGCAGAGGCGGGAGGAGGGGGTGAGCACGGGGTGGTTGACGTCTCCCGCCCCTGCCAGGAAGTGCCTCCTTGGCCCTGGCTGTGGGTGGTGGGGGAGGGAACGTGGTTCCCAGGTCCTCATGCCCCTGCCTCCAGTCCCAGGTCCAGGCAGGGGACAGACAGGGACATTCAGATCCCCGTTGGCTGGTCTGGCTGTGCCCCATTCTTTGGACCCCAAATCTCAGGGCAATGTCAAACCCCCCAGCCCTGGGGCATGAAGGGCAAGATGGGGCAAAGAAGTGTCCAAAAAAGATTGTCTCATTCCTCTGAAAATTGTGATGTTTGGGCCCAAGACTTGAGCTCCAGCATTAGAGACCAGGAGGTCGGCTATCTGCAGAGGAGAGTCAGGGCTTGCGGGGGCCAGTGTCAAAACAGGACTCAGCTCCCAACCCCATCACTCTGGCCATGGACTGCCCCCTCCCTCCTCAGCAGTTTCCAATGCCCCCCCCCCCCATTGCCCATGACGAGCAAGCAGGGAGGGAGGACCTGACTGCAGCTGGGCACAGTTCCCAGCAGCCCCACTCTGACACGCTAACCCTCACTCGGCGGGCTTGGTGGAGCCCTGCCACAACCCGGTCATGGTGAAAAATAGGTCACCCTGATTGCTCCGCCCTCTCCTCTGGCGAGGCCCCCAGCAGCACTGCCATGAAATCTCCAAGAGCTCACTGGGACAGCAGGAGCACCGCCACAGAGACGCCCCACTGACTCACACAGCCTGGCCCCGGCCCTGGCCCATCCCCAGCAGGGGCCTGGACCCCCGGAGGCCCAGCAGGCTGGCACCAGGAGGCTGTTTCCTCCTTGGGACTCGGTGTCAGGATCACAGCTATCATCAGGGAAGCATGGGACCAGAGATGGGATTCTCGGGCTCTGGCTCTAAGGAGTCCCTGTCTGCATTATGGAGGACAAGTCGGGCAAGGTCCCCCCAGCTGGAAGGTGATCAGGGACCTCCCAGAAGCTCCATGTTGTGAGAGGGTCCTGGAGGCCTGGCAGAGTCAGGAGACCTGCCCTCGGGCACCAAGCTCACAGCTCGGGCGGAGCATCGAGGAGAAAGTACACCAGCCACTGACCTCCATTCTTGGCCCACACATGTTTTGGTTCTAGAGGTAGTTCCATGGGCAGCAGCTTAGGGAGAAGGACTCATGGAAGCTGAGCCAAATAATTGAAAATGGTCAGGGGGAGTGGGAGACTGGAAGGGGACACCCCACATCTAGCAGATTTGAGGGGGTGGTCTTGGAGTTCTGGGTTCAGAGGCAGGTCCTGCTGGACTCGAGGCAAAAAAAGGTGAGGGTGGCTCAGGGATGGGGATGAGGGGAGCACTGACATCACTACAGAGGGCCCCCCAAAGTCCTGAGGCTTTGCTCATCTGGCTCTTGGGCCCTCAGTGTCTGTCCGAACAGGATCTGCCCAGAGGAAGTGACTAGCTCTGGGCTCTGAGTGACCAGAGTAAGAGATAAAAGCGCAGCAGGACTTTTCCGAATAGCCACCCAGAAAAGGCTGCTGGCCTCCACTGGCCTCCCTCACCTGCCCAGTCTACAGCCCTCCCAGGGGACCGGGGTACTTGTCCCCTCCTCATCGCCATGGCCCTGAAACCTCCATCTACCTGAAGGACTCCGGGGAGAAGCCGGCATCCCCCTCTTTGAGGGGACAGGGGCACACTTCCTAGAATGTCTCCTGAAGAGCAAGGCGCAGTGGAGAAAAGAGCGGAGGTGGGATCAGCTAAGGGCAGCAGTCAAGGAAAGGAAAGAAAGGCAGCCCCAAGTTTGAGTCTCAGCTTGTGAACAGCAGGGTGCACCAGGAGGCCCCCGGCATTTTCCAGGTGTATGCAGGCTGTGTTTGGGGGTCACCTGCACCCGGTGGGGACACGGGGTGGTTAAGGGGGAGTGTTTATGGTAGAGACTGGAATCCTGGGTCTCAGCACCAGGGGGTCCACAGCCTGCACAACTGCAGCACCACAGCAGAGGTCTGGCGGGCCAGAAAGACAGGAGCCAGGGCAAAAACCTCTGAGGCGGCCACGGGGCTCGGTCCCTGACCTGCTCCCACGCCCCGCTGCTCTCCTGCACCCTGGGGC